ACAGTTGGTAATGATTAATTAGGAAAGACTTGTGATTTCCACTGGTTCTTGGAACAAACCCACACTTATTGACTCGACGATTGACCGGATGCTATAAGACCAAAGTCTGGTTCCACTGGGGATTGAACCCAGGACCTTCTGCGTGTAAAGCAGACGTGATAACCACTACACTATGGAACCCCTGTGAGAATGTAATTTAACTATTTGCAATATAAACATGGTTCTGAATATAGTTCAGGAGTTAAAAAGCCGCATTCAAAGTCTCAAAATAAATATTAGACATACAGTACTTCTGGGGCCTGTACTACTAAGCTGGTTCAACATAACTTGGATATGATTGAGTTAGCCGGTTGGCCTAATCCAAAACATACGCGCTCTCGCTAAACGGTACTACGACGCTGGTTATCAAGTGGATCGCTCAAGCCAGCCGTTTCCTATCTAGTTAGATGCGCGTTCACATGAGAGGAGTGGTATCTGGAGCATTCGACCAATCACAGACATGGAGAAGCGTACTGACAGCGCAGCGTCATACTTCCTGAATGAAAAGTGAACTTTAATACTAGTCAAAAATGAAGAAGTTAAACTTTAAACATCCATGACTTAAACACTTGATCCAGGATCAAAGCCACAGAGCTGCACCTGCAAGGTGAATACAGCTGGCAAAAGAAAAAGTGTTTGAATGCGTACATTAACAGGTTTATGATATCACTGCCCCGTCTAAAACATGATTTGACTTTAATTACATTTGTCTCGAGTGTTTCGTCAACTTACTGTGTTGCTTAAAATAATACTTCTGCATACAGTCTGTGACACTGTGAGTGTTGCACGGCCAGATACGGCTCAGCTGACTCAGATAAGAAAATATATGATACATTATGAAATGATATACCGTGGACTGTAGGCTACTTAATGTTACTCTGATCCGGTTACTTATGTTGTGGCAGATATGTGGTAAGTGTTCTTAACGCTAATGTTATAATAGTCAGATTGCTCTGAAGACGGAGGTGATATTCTATTAATGTTCACGTTCACACAGTCGGTGATTGTTGCCGGCCGTCTTTCCTGCGACGGTAGCTTTTCTGTATTTCCTTTCTCCTGTAATATGACTTGATCGCTTTAAACTCCGCACACTGAGCTCTGATTGGTCAGCAGGCAGTGCTTTCACTGAGTTGAGCTCTTAGCCTGCAACCTAACCTGGTCCCGACCAGGTTAGCCGCTGAGCATAAGTTACCATGGAGATCTAGCCTGCTAAAAAGAGAACCAGCTTCGTAGGACCGGAAAGCCGGAGTTTTCCCTGAATTTAGCCGCTAAGAGAAAATCCTGCTTCGTAGTATACCCCCCAGGAGATTGAACCCAGAACCTTCTGTGTGAAGCATGACATGATGACTACTACATTAATTGCATCATTCATCTCATTCTCTCAAATATGTTGGTGTGTTGGTCACATCAGTCACAGTGGATGTACAGAGAATGATGTTAGGTTTCATTGTTATTTAGTTCAAGCATTGTTTTCAATCTAGTCAATGTTTATTTTGACATTTTCTCTATTTACAGTTGGTAATGATTAATTAGGAAAGACTTGTGATTTCCACTGGTTCTTGGAACAAACCCACACTTATTGACTTGACGATTGACCGGATGGTATAAGACCAAAGGCTGGTTCTACTGGGGATTGAACCCAGGACCTTCTGCGTGTAAAGCAGACGTGATAACCACTACACTATGGAACCTCTGTCATGTAGACTTTTTAAGTTAATGTACATGTATCTGGATCTCACCAAAGTTTATTTTTTACTAACAATTGTAAGAGTTTGTGGGTTACATTGATGCAAGGTCAAGGTAAGGTTATGAACATGGTTTTCCATTTTTTAAAGGCGCAAACTTGATTAATTTGACCTGAAATAAGACCAAGGGAACAACAAGACAGACGTCAGATTCCACTGGGGATTGAACCCAGGACCTTCTGCGTGTAAAGCAGACGTGATAACCACTACACTATGGAACCTCTGTAATAATACATTTCCTAATCAAACCTTTAACACATGATAGAATATAAATGACTAGCATAGAATACTACCAGTGAGGTCAGGTGAGGATAAAGTTTGGTTCCTCTGGGGATTGAACCCAGGACCTTCTGCGTGTAAAGCAGACATGATAACTACTACACTATGAAACCCCTGTGAGAATGTAATTCAACTAATTGCAATATAAACATGGTTCTGAATATAGTTCAGGAGTTAAAAAGCCGCATTCACAGTCTCAAAAGAAATATTAGACATACAGTACTTCTGGGGATTTAACCCAGAACCTTCTGTGTGTGAAGCATGACATGATGACTACTACATTAATTGCATCATTCATGTCATTCTCTCAAATATGTTGGTGTGTTGGTCACATAAGTCACAGTGGATGTACAGAGACTGATGTTAGGTTTCATTGTTATTTAGTTCAAGCATTGTTTTCAATCTAGTCAATGTTTATTTTTTTACATTTTCTCTATTTACAGTTGGTAATGATTAATTAGGAAAGACTTGTGATTTCCACTGGTTCTTGGAACAAACCCACACTTATTGACTTGACGATTGACCGGATGCTATAAGACCAAAGTCTGGTTCCACTGGGGATTGAACCCAGGACCTTCTGCGTGTAAAGCAGACGTGATAACCACTACACTATGGAACCTCTGTCACGTAGACTTTTTAAGTTAATGTACATGTATCTGGATCTCACCGAAGTTTATTTTTTACTAACAATTGTAAGAGTTTGTGGGTTACATTGATGCAAGGTCAGGGTAAGGTTATGAATCTGGTTTTCCATTTTTTAAGGCGCAATCTTGATTCATTTTACCTGAATTAAGACCCAGGGAACAACAAGACAGACGTCAGGTTCCACTGGGGATTGAACCCAAGACCTTCTGCGTGTAAAGGAGACGTGATAACCACTACACTATGGAACCTCTGTAATAATACATTACCTAATCAAACCTTTAACACATGATAGAATATAAATGACTAGCATAAAATACTACTAGTGATGGCAGCCAATACAATAAAGCTTTGGTTCCACTGGAGATTGAACCCAGGACCTTCTGCGTGTAAAGCAGACTTGATGACTACTATATGGAACCTCTGTGACATTTAAATTGCTAATCAAATATCCAAGACATGGTAGAATATTTATGAAAAACTTTAAAAATAGTACCAGTGAGGTCAGGTGAGGATAAAGTTTGGTTCCTCTGGGGATTGAACCCAGGAACTTCTGCGTGTAAAGCAGACTTGATGACTACTACACTATGGAACCCCTGTGAGAATGTAATTCAACTAATTGCAATATAAACATGGTTCTGAATATAGTTCAGGAGTTAAAAAGCCGCATTCACAGTCTCAAAATAAATGTTAGATATGCAGTACTTCTGGGGATAGAACCCAGAACCTTCTGTGTGTGAAGTATGACATGATGACAATTACATTAATTGCATCATTCATGTCATTCACTCAAATATGTTGGTGTGTTGGTCACATAAGTCACAGTGGATGTACAGAGACTGATGTTAGCTTTCATTGTTATTTAGTTCAAGCATTGTTTTCAATCTAGTCAATGTTTATTTTGACATTTTCTCTATTTACAGTTGGTAATGATTAATTAGGAAATACTTTTGATTTCCACTGGTTCCTGGAACAAACCCACACTTATTGACTTGACGATTGACCGGATGCTATAAGACCAAAGTCTGGTTCCACTGGGGATTGAACCAAGGACCTTCTGCGTGTAAAGCAGACGTGATAACCACTACACTATGGAACCTCTGTAATAATACATTACCTAATCGAATCTTTAACACATGATAGAATATAAATGACTAGCATAAAATACTACTAGTGATGGCAGCCAATACAATAAAGCTTTGGTTCCACTGGGGATTGAACCCAGGACCTTCTGCGTGTAAAGCAGACGTGATGACTACTACACTATGGAACCCCTGTGAGAATGTAATTCAACTATTTGCAATATAAACATGGTTCTGAATATAGTTCAGGAGTTAAAAAGCCGCATTCACAGTCTCAAAATAAATATTAGACATGCAGTACTTCTGGGGATTGAACCCAGAACCTTCTGTGTGTGAAGCATGACATGATGACTACTACATTAATTGCATCATTCATGTCATTCTCTCAAATATGTTGGTGTTTTGGTCACATAAGTCACAGTGGATGTACAGAGACTGATGTTAGGTTTCATTGTTATTTAGTTCAAGCATTGTTTTCATTCTAGTCAATGTTTATTTTGACATTTTCTTTATTTACAGTTGGTAATGATTAATTAGGAAATACTTGTGATTTCCACTGGTTCTTGGAACAAACCCACACTTATTGACTTGACGATTGACCGGATGCTATAAGACCAAAGGCTGGTTCCACTGGGGATTGAACCCAGGACCTTCTGCGTGTAAAGCAGACGTGATAACCACTACACTATGGAACCTCTGTCACGTTTTTACTAACAATTGTAAGAGTTTGTGGGTTACATTGATGCAAGGTCAGGGTAAGGTTATGAACATGGTTTTCCATTTTTTTAAGGCGCAATCTTGATTCATTTTACCTGAAATAAGACCCAGGGAACAACAAGACAGACATCAGGTTCCACTGGGGATTGAACCCAGGACCTTTCGCGCGGGGACCGGGTATAGTAAGGACTAACTCTCTTAACTTTTACCATTCATTCTCTATGGTAGTTCTTACACTGTGACTGCAATATATTTCTGGCCACAAGTGATAAATTGGGGGCGCTGTTGCATTCTTTTGGTAGAAGTAAGGTGACCCCGTTTCCAGTGACAGAGTGAGAGAGACGGAGCAACAGCAGCAGCATCTTACAGATAGAGAGACGACATTAGCGACACAATTCGACTTCTAGTTCTAACATCACGTTAAACTTATCAAACGTAAGTGGGGCTTATTTTTCTACCACTGAATTAACACTTATGATATTGTTACACTGTTTTTGCAATAGTTGTTAGTTGTTAGTTTGTGTTTAACTCTGTGTGTTGTTAGCGCTGAAGTACTGTAACTTTTGTTAGCTAACGCTATCGTCATGTATTTACAGTAAATGTCAGCGTTAACAGCAGCTGATTTATTACTCATTACACATGGCAAAATAGCTGTCAAATGTGTTTTACAGGTGTATCTTGTTAACACTGATCCAAAATACTGCATAATTTGACTCTTTTCATTGCTGCAGCTCTACTTACTACGGTACATTTTAATCGGGTAAATACTACAGTATTCAGTCTTAAAACTTTTGTTTTGCTATCTTCTATTATACTTTTGTTATTATTTTATGGCTAAAGATGTTACCCATCTGCTTTTCAGTCTGTCTATTCATGTAATAGAAAAGTTGTTACCTAGTCATTACAAATCCCAATGAATGTAAACATGAAATAAAGTGAGTTCACTCACATTGACAGGGCAATACATAATCAATCTTCCTGCCCACCTGCCCCTCTGTTTGTTTGTTTGTCTGCCTGTCTGATCATGTAATATAACATGTGTTACCTATACAAATCCTGGTTAACGTGAATGAATGAAATGAATAACTCTGCTAATATAACATATGATGATTTGTGCACTTCTTAATATATATTTTGCATTGTGTTTTGCTGTGTGCAGGAGATAATGAAGAAAACCATATTCTTCCCAGGAAAGATGAGAGTGTCTTTCAGGAAGGGTCCATCTGGCCACCTGAGACAGGACCCTTCAGAGGAGGGTATGATAATTAAAAAAAATCCTTCCCTTCAGGACAAGTCTGCCGCTCAGAAGCATGAGCATGTGAGGACAAATGCTCTCACTGAGGTCCTTCAGAGGGGAGGGGATGTATCCGACCGACTCGAGGTGATGGGGGAGTACGTGCTACAGTTCGGAAAATATAAGGGGAAACTGTACAGGTGGCTCCTAGAGAATGACGTCGGCTACACCCTCTACTTGATGGACAAGGTGGACGAGGAGGAGAGAGGTGGGACCTTCAACCCCCAAGGGCCTAGCAAGGACAGCCTGCTGTCGTTTCTGGACTACGCCAGGAGCTTCCAGGAAATTGAGGATCTGAGGAAGTACCTGTGCTCCAGGAAGCCTGCCCCACCAGTGGCGTCAGAGGGGGAACATACTGTCGGCTTTGGAGCCAGAGCCAAAGACACCTGGAAGCAGATCTGGGATAGCAGGTCTGATGGTTATGCTGCCTTTGTTTTAGGAGTGAAGTGCATCACTAACAGCAAGATGTACAACCTTCAGCAGTATATCCTCAAGCAGCAGAGGGCTGAGTCCTGTCCACCACCGGCTGAAGGCTGCATTGCATCAGCTACCTCCACTCTGACATCCAGCACTCCAGGTCAGCTCACAGTAATATGCAAATACTGCTTTAAGGTGAACATGACATTGACATAATACATGTTATTGTTTAATCTCCTAGTGATGGAGGAGGACGAGGAGCTGGAGAGGGCGATGTTGAATCTGTCTCCTTCAAAACTCTACACTGAACGAAGTAGGTGGATCCAGTTAGATACACAGTGATTATATAAACTTACTGTACATGTTAAAACTTTGTTCATTGGTCCCCTGTGCTTATAGGGCCACCAGCAGCAGTCTCCAGAGCCCCGGCTGTGTCCACACCAACAGGTTTTTATCTAGCAGTGTGGAGGGTTAACTGTTTCCAACAGATTTTCCCTGACATTATTATTCTCAACTAGTTTGTTCTTTTGGCCGAGTTCTGGTCTGTTCTGATGCTTGTGTTATTCTGTTCTCCAACTAACTGAAGGAATTAACATGTCAGCAATGATGGTAAGTGTTTTTCCGTTTTTGCATGCTTTTTTTTAGACTGTCATACAAGGATTTGGCATTTTAAATATTGCAGTGGCTTAGAACACCTAGCTTCTTACCCTCTAAGATATCATGCCACACCTTTGAATGAAAGATGTGCTTGCTATATATGTATACTGTTTCTCTGCTTTACCTGTTTCCAAACACATATAGACATTATGTTTTTCTATTTCAAATAATTGGGATTCACAAGTTAATACAACAGGGTATTTTCATTCTGCTAAAGAGACGACAGGTAAAGACAGATTGTGAAGCTTGAAACAACTTAACACTTGAGGAAAGTGACACAGGATTGTTTCTACAGCCCACAGGACTTATCCAACTGCCACTGTGTCCAGACCCGATGGACCTGCTCCCCTGAAAGGTTATTGGGTTTTTATACTCCTCACTTGGATCCATCTTGAATCTTTTTCATACATATTATGTATATATACCCTCATGTTTGTTTCCGCCTTTCATCCTTCAGCCACAGTGAAGGCACCGCTGCCGGTCCCTCCTCAGCTGCTCGCCATTGCCCCAAAGCTCGGGATAGAAGAGCAGGTGCCAAATGTGTTGAGACAAAGTATGTGTTCTTCTTATACTACCAGTGTATCTCGCAGAAACTTACATTTCATTCTGACAAATCACATTGTCACGGTGTCATACAGTAGAGTGCTCACGTTTTAGGTAAAGTTAAGTAATGATATCATCGTCTCTGTTTTCATTTTTCACAACTTCTTAAATGCTGCTTCTTAATTTCGATAATGTGTATACGTCACTTGCCTGTTTGTATCTCATCCTCCCAGATTCATCCCCACATAATATAGCCCCTGTGGAAGCGCAGGGAGACACTGTCCTCGATGAAGGTATGAATATCGGTGACACTGTATTATAGCAGTCATTTATATAGAGCTTTATTCAATTTGATCTGATGTAACTGTGTGTTTTACTGTGTTTTACAGCTCTGACTTGCCCAGTGCCTCCTGTCCCCTTAGCAGCACCACACCAGCCTGCAGCCTCTGTTCCGGGCTATAGTGAGGATGTTGCCCACTGGAACTGCTCGCACCAGCAGCAGATTTGGATGAAGACTGAGTTGGAAACATTGGGTCTGTGGCCAGGTTCACGTCCAGTGAGACACCTAATGAACATGTTGTCCCTGTGGCGTTATCCGCCTCAGCCTGAGCTCATAGACTCAATCTCTGACCTGCCTTCACCCAAGTACTATCAGCTTCATCCATATTTTATTTGGAAGCCAGAGCACGCGATCATGGAGAGGGTGAGAAACAACTTTGTCTTGCCCTGTCTCTATGGTTGTCCGAACCCTCAGGTAGTTTCTTCTGGCATTGGAAGGCCAAGAGTCATCCTTGGGACAAGCAGCCAGTACTATATTTTAGCTTCGCGACTCACCTGCAAGGTCTGCAAAAAGTACTGGCATGCTGACAAGCCCCAGTGGCTGGAGAAGCTACCCCAGCGCATCAGCAACATCGTGCCGGCCTTCCTGACGCACAAAAAGGCCGTCTGCAAATCTGTACTGGATGAGATGAGGCGCAGCGGCAGATCCCCAGAGGACATGTCCAAGCAGCTGACGGAGGCGCTCAATCTCAAATATGAGAGAGCTCACCTGGCCTACCTGCTGTGTGTGCAGAATGTCAGGGATGCTGAGGCAGGAGTCTACGGCCAAAGGACCATCACTGGGTTCCTCAGACAGGAAGATACTCCGGCTGCATTTGGTGGATACTCGGACGGTGATGGCTGGTGTGGAGTTTCTGTCTCTTCCCACTACCTGGTGGAGTGCCTGGTCCGTGAGTATCAGCGGCAGGAGGAGCTCCTTACTCTGCTGCTTCAGGGGACCTTTGGACAGGCCCTGAGGTCTGATCACACTCGCAGAGTGGCTAGGAAGGTTGTGCTGTCGTCTGGCACCATGTCTTCCTATGCCATCATGAATGAGAACTGGATGATCCTGAGCTGGGTGATGCTGCAGTCAGAGTGTGATAGGTCCCTTAACCCGTTGTATGAGGGTCTGTCTCAACGCTACACTGTGGCTGGAGTGGAGAAGGCACGCTACCAGTGGGTGGACAGGTATAAACAACAAGTTTAAATTGAAAACAGTTGATTCTTTTTTTTTGTTGTTGTTTTTTTAATTCTGCATTTAATTCTGTAATCTGACTCTTCATAAATATAATACACATGAATAATTACAGTTAATTATTACACTAATTTTGTACGAAGATATTGTACAAGGTTTTCAGCTGTAATGACATTTATTTGTAATGCTTTAGGGACTGCTGCGCTGCCTTCAAGGTCCTTCAACCTGGGGCTCAGGAGCACTTGTGGGACAGCTGGAGGACCACAGATGCTATCCTGGCAGAGGCCACCTCTGGAAATCTCAAGAACATTTGCGCATCAAGGAACAAGTTTAACAAAGACATTATTGTCAAGTTGGACTTGTTTCATTGTATGCGGCGGTTTACCAGGGAGTGTGTCTCCGAGCATCATTCGTTGTACAGCTCCTTCTGCCAGTTCCTCTCAGCAGCGTTCGTTGTGGTGGACCACAGCGATCTCCAGAAGCTGAAGGAGGCGTACACGTTCTGCAGAATTTCTCCTGCTAACCCCACAAAGCAGCACATAAGAGAGCACTGCAGGACAAAGGTGCCACAGCCAATGGAACTGCTGCAAAGAGTGGAAGACGTCCTCCATCACTATTACATGGCAAAGGATGCCAATGATTTGCTCCTTTTCAAAGACTCAATGTTAAAGGTGTGGAGGATCCAGTGCATCCACATCCTCCGAGGCTGCCTGAGCGACCCTGAAGTGGGAGAGGGAATCCTCTACAGCAGGGGTACTCAAATACAAATCTTAAAGGTCCAAAATAAATGTTTCAATAAGACAAAGGTCCGTTTATTACGGTCATTCAAACTTTTAAACAATTGCAACAAGATTCTTAACACGAGGTTGCAAAAACAAAAAGTCTCTGTATGCAGCAGTTTTCATTGTTATTGTGTCTGTGCTTGACCCCTCAGAGTCGCAGTGTAAGAGCTGCACAGTTATGAATAAAGGCAGCTGCACCCTCTTTCATTCAGCATTCCCATTATTGCTTTATAAATGTATGCCCCCTTGTGTGTCCACTGAGGTTCGTCAGGCCCAACACATCTTCAACAAACTCCCCCTTTGCCTCATCATAAAAACTCACAAACACCAGCAACTGAGCATTGTCAGTGGTGTCAGTGGACTCACCCACAGCTAAGGAAATGCACTGTGCATTTTCTATTCCATCACAAAGCTGATGAATCAAATCACCAGCCAGTATTTATGTTCTTCTGGTTGCTGTGGAATCTGAGAGGGGGATTTGCTTGATTTGACCTGTTATTTCCTCTTTGTGTTTGCCTTCAACATGGTCTCCATCACTTCAGTCATGCATTCTTTTATACTGCAGTTATTATCCAGTGGAAGGTCCTTACCTACTGGCCTAGTTACATCAAAGTGGTTACTTTTTTTTGTCTGGGCAGTGTAGTTTTAAACACCGTCTTATTTGACTTTCTCAGGACTTAAAACAGTTTTTTGGGGGCAGACCCCCTCAAAGAAAACAATATATTTACACACGTAAGGTCATCATCTTAATAGTTGTGTATGCTCATCCGTGAGCAGAGCATCAAGTTGGCATGTCTATTACAGCTGAATGCGGCGATTACCATCTTGTTCAGCAAAACGCCTCACAAACGTATTAAGATCAACAGCTTTAGTGCGTTTTGATTCAATGCTGAGTACAGACAAACTGACAGTCTCTTCTCTGTCAGACCGCAAATACCTCATTCCTTCAGCGCTTGGGTCCGAATGCTTCTCGTTTTGCGCCGTCCAGTTAAAAATGAAATCGCCGCCAAATCATATTTCCACGCTCGCGCCAGGACCGGGGGAGGGGTTACATGACGTGCATCTTGTGCTGCATTCACTTGCACTCGGACATTAGAGACTTTCTCTCATAAATGTCCGATGAGCCACAACTTTTCTTTCAAAACAAAGCTGCCAACTGGGGTGGCAGCTGGGGTGGCAAGGCCTATTTTTAGGGTGTCAGTTGCCACCCTGGTAGGTGAAACTAGGCTACTAGCTACAGTACAGATGGAACTAGATTAGCTGTTAACTCTCGCTCTGAATTTTTTTTGTTTTTGTTTTAATTCTCGCTCTGACTTAGACAGGTTGAAAGAGACACACACATTTTTCCCACCCGCATTCCGCGAAGACCCGCCCTACTGTGCCTCTGATTCGCAGATTGTTTGGGGGAAAAAACCGCTGACTGGATGCTGAATGTGATTGGACCAAAGCGTTGACACACACAGGTGGAACACAGTGGAACAGTCAGACATGCAGAGCGCTGTTTGCAATGGACATAGCGGAGAATTTTGACTCGTTGCGAATGCGTTGTGGCGATGTCTCACATATAATACAGAGAGATCATACATATGAAAAGTATAATTTGCTCAGAGTCCGGAGACAGTGCTGGTTCGGTCCGGATCCGGACCGGAGTCCGTAGTTTGAGGATGCCTGCTCTACAGGTATGGTGGCACCCTGCAGCTGAATTACAACAAGGGTGAGGGAGCTGCCGTGCCTGTGTGGATCCCTGTGAGAGGCACCTCTCAGCAGGAGGGTTTCCACGGACACCAAGCCCAATGGGTGACAGGCAACCGGGTGTCCTGTGAACTATTCCAGGCTCAAGCTATGACTGGAGTTGTGCGCTGGAACTACCAGAGGCTGGTGGACCTGAAACAACCAGATGTGGAGCTGCCAGCCGTGTTTGACCCCCGGTTGATTTCAGAGCTTAACACCATCTCTGTAAAAGTGACAGGAAGGTCCAAATATCCAGCACTGCAGCTCTCCAACAGGGACACGGGGGAGAGATTTGGACTGCAGTACGTGGAGCCAGGCTGTCGTCCTGTTGTTTTGAACTGGGACAAGAACAGGGCACAGCCAAACAACCCAGCGGCAGTAGCCATGGAGACAGAGCATCATTGCCCTGCCCCTACTGTTGTAGTGGGCACAGACTCTCAGGTAATCCAGTTCATATTTATATCTACTTACTGTCAAGTACTGACAGACTGGCTGACTAACTAATTCACTATATTTGTGCTATTTCAGGAATCCTGTGCTGATCCAGTTGGGGCAGTGCCAATTCTGTCTTCCAGTTCCCGGCAGTCCTCTGATGTTGTGACCAAGTCCCTGCTGCCTTTGACACAAGCCTCTGCCACACAAACACCAGAGCCTTTGATAGATACAGGTCATTCAAATTACCTACCTACACTACCTCACTGTTAAAAACAGGCGTGCACATAATATATGTAATATCATCATGTTGAAATATTGTTTATTAACAACAATCATTAAGCAAGTGTATGCAAACTGTAAAAGCCATTGAAAAGCATAATAGAACAAGAGGTAGGAATATAAGATAATCATGTATTTGTCCCACAAAAGTTAAATTAGCTGTGAAGTGAAATGACTAAAAGAGCTAATTGATTTGCAACACACTGGCATAAAACAATATAATTAACATATATTTATTTTTTAGACTTGACAGGGGTAGCACCGCTGCCTCAGTCCTCCTCTCCTCGAGCCACCCGCACTGGACCAATTAAAACTGGTGGCCTCATTCAAGTCTTGGACCATGGTCGGTGGACAGAACCCATGAAAGCTGCCATCGACGAGCTTCTGGTAAACCACCGTGGTGCCAAAGATGTCCTGAAGCGGGTGGATGCGGACTACGCTGCCATGGTCCAGAGGGGATGCACAGACCGGAACAGCCTCCTTCACCCGACCACAGTCCAACATATCTCACGATATGTGAAACATCTGGCAAAATTAAAAAACACCAGCTCTTCCCTCAACACATCCCCAGAAAAGATCTTAGACACAGCAGCTGTGGCATAGTTTGACCTCAGGTAGCCAAACTATCAGTGTGCCTGTCATAACTCTGCCACCTGCCGTATGCAACCCTCCAGCTGTGGCTCCCAGACAGGAGGACTCACTGAGCAGGGCTTCAGTGGAGAAGATTGTGTCAGACGTCCTGGCAAAACAACAGCAGCAGCAGCAGCAGCAGCAGCAGCAACAGCCTCAGAAAAAGACGCGGATGAGAAACTGTTTAGCCTGCGGTCAGCCTAAATCCAGATATCTTGGGGATGGCTCTTCAGTTCATTTTGTTTACCAGTCAAAAACGGTAAAATACTTTTACTGCTCCACCAAGGTCTTTCAGACCTATGCTAAAGAAGGCCTCAAAGACACCAGGATGTCTTTTGAGAACTTTGCTGCAACTGCGTTTTTTGAGCGAGAGCTGGAGGCTGCCAGACAGAGGGGGGCAGAGTGGAGAAAGGTTGCAGAGGAGAGAGGGAAGAGGAAGGCAGCTGTGCAGCTGCCAACAGGCCGTCTCTGCAGGATTTGTCACCAACCCCTGAAGCAGGGTCCCAACAGCCCTCATATCCATGCATACTTCCCAGGGGTTTCAGGGAAGTACATCTACTGCCCCTCCAGAGTCTTCTCCTTATATAATGCACAGGGCATGGAGAAGGAGATGACGTGGCCGGACTTCCAGCAGTCGGACTTCTATGATGCTGAAAGGGACAGATGGATTGCAGACAAAAGGAAGCCCTAACCTACCCTCACATACACACATGCACACGCCACTTCCTGGGTCTACTAAGTTGCATACTAACATACAAACTAAGACGTTTTGCCTGCAACACAAACGAGACCCCTAAACTATCAGCCTTTTCACCAGTCCTGCCAATCCTGCCAATAACAAAACAGTTTTGGTTAATGCCCTCAAAAAACTCAATTAATAATAAAGAATAATAATCATTTCAAGGATTTCTATGGGTCCTCCACTCCAATCTTGTCAGTGCTGGGGCCTTAAACATGTAATGTATTTAAATGTTACACTAGAATATTATATACTAGAATAAATAAATGAACAACAATTGCACTAGAATAAATATAATTATTGCATTAGAATACAATTAAACAAATACCAAGTAAGAGGGTATAAATCACTAAAATGAGAATAGAATGCAGAATAGTAACCATACAAGAGCATGAGGTGAAAAACATTTCAGATAATGGATGGTGGTGAGATCAAACAAATCTATAACAAAACAATACACTATCTTCTGCTAAATAATAATATTATAATAAATATTAAGGTGCAATACAACATATCATATAGTCCAAAAATACAAAGAATATAATATGGTTAAATCATTTTTTCAGGATCTGATTGTTCTCTCTGTATTGTGTTTTCAGTGTTTTTAATATATTTGTTGTTCTATTTTTAATATTTCTGTTTTTGAATAAATGATCTTGAATGCATCACTGTGGCTGTCTTTACTTGATAGAGGAAGTAATAGTGATAGAAAATGAAACACACTCATATGCTCAATGTAAACATCTGTACAATCAACATATTAATTATAAGTAAAAATAAAAAGATATTATATAAAACATTATTATTACTAATATTAAGATATCATTATTTGTGTTATTATTGCTATATATTAAGATTAAAATAACTATTATAAGAAGCAGCAAGCAAAGAATAATTCATTTCTAACTCCAAATATCTGTTTCAACTTTAACTTTAAACGTTTGAAAATGTAAATGTAGTGTTTGTGTATAATGAGCAACATTTTGAAACTGAATGTGACATTTTGTTTGGGTCAGGTGGGATTCGAACCGTCGTTCTTTTGAAGAGGCTTCTGGCCAATAGAAAGTCTTCTATGGGTATACACGGCTTACCTCTGCGTGTAAAGCAGACGTGATAACCACTACTATATGGAACCTCTGTGACATTTAAATTGCTAATCAAATATCCAAGACATGGTAGAATATTTATGAAAAACTATACAAATAGTACCAGTGAGGTCACGTGTGGATAAAGCTCTGGTTCCACTGGGGATTGAACCCAGGACCTTCTGCTTGTAAAGCAGACGTGATGACTACTACACTATGGAACCCCTGTGAGAATGTAATTCAACTAATTGCAATATAAACATGGTTCTGAATATAGTTCAGGAGTTAAAAAGCCGCATTCACAGTCTCAAAAGAAATGTTAGACATGTAGTACTTCTGGGGATAGAACCCAGAACCTTCTGTGTGTGAAGCATGACATGATGACTACTACATTAATTGCATCATTCATGTCATTCTCTCAAATATGTTGGTGTGTTGGTCACATCAGTCACAGTGGATGTACAGAGACTGATGTTAGGTTTCATTGTTATTTAGTTCAAGCATTGTTTTCAATCTAGTCAATGTTTATTTTGACATTTTCTTTATTTACAGTTGGTAATGATTAATTAGGAAAGACTTGTGATTTCCACTGGTTCTTGGAACAAACCCACACTTATTGACTCGACGATTGACCGGATGCTATAAGACCAAAGTCTGGTTCCACTGGGGATTGAACCCAGGACCTTCTGCGTGTAAAGCAGACGTGATAACCACTACACTATGGAACCTCTATCATGTAGCCTTTTTAAGTTAATGTACATGTATCTGGATCTCACCGAAGTTTAGTTTTTACTAACAATTGTAAGAGTTTGTGGGTTACATTGATGCAAGGTCAGGGTAAGGTTATGAACATGGTTTTCCATTTTTTTAAGGCGCAATCTTGATTCATTTTACCTGAAATAAGACCCAGGGAACAACAAGACAGACGTCTGGTTCCACTGGGGATTGAACCCAGGACCTTCTGCGTGTAAAGCAGACGTGATGACTACTATATGGAAACTCTGTGACATTTAAGTTGCTAATCAAATATCCAAGACATGGTAGAATATTTATGAAAAACTTTCAAAATAGTACCAGTGAGGTCAGGTGAGGATAAAGCTCTGGTTCCTCTGGGGATTGAACCCAGGACCTTCTGTGTGAAAAGTAGATGTGATGACTACTACACTATGGAACCCCTGTGAGAATGTAATTCAACTAATTGCAATATAAACATGGTTCTGAATATAGTTCAGGAGTTAAAAAGCCGCATTCACAGTCTCAAAAGAAATATTAGACATGCAGTACTTCTGGGGATTGAACCCAGAACCTTCTGTGTGTGAAGCATGACATGATGACTACTACATTAATTGCATCATTCATCTCATTCTCTCAAATATGTTGGTGTGTTGGTCACATAAGTCACAGTGGATGTACAGAGACTGATGTTAGGTTTCATTGTTATTTAGTTCAAGCATTGTTTTCAATCTAGTCAATGTTTATTTTGACATTTTCTCTATTTACAGTTGGTAATGATTAATTAGGAAAGACTTGTGATTTCCACTGGTTCTTTGAACAAACCCACACTTATTGACTTGACGATTGACCGGATGCTATAAGACCAAAGTCTGGTTCCACTGGGGATTGAACCGAGGACCTTCTGCGTGTAAAGCAGACGTGATAACCACTACACTATGGAACCTCTGTCATGTAGACTTTTTAAGTTAATGTACATGTATCTGGATCTCACCGAAGTTTAGTTTTTACTAACAATTGTAAGAGTTTGTGGGTTACATTGATGCAAGGTCAGGGTAAGGTTATGAACATGGTTTTCCATTTTTTAAAGGCGCAATCTTGATTCATTTTACCTGAAATAAGACCCAGGGAACAACAAGACAGACGTCAGGTTCCACTGGGGATTGAACCCAGGACCTTCTGCGTGTAAAGCAGACGTGATAACCACTACACTATGGAACCTCTGTAATAATACATTACCTAATCAAACCTTTAACACATGATAGAATATAAATGACTAGCATAAAATACTACTAGTGATGGCAGCCAATACAATAAAGCTATGGTTCCACTGGGGATTGAACCCAGGACCTTCTGTGTGTAAAGCAGACGTGATGACTACTACACTATGGAACCCCTGTGAGAATGTAATTCAACTAATTGCAATATAAACATGGTTCTGAATATAGTTCAGGAGTTAAAAAGCCGCATTCACAGTCTCAAAAGAAATATTAGACATGCAGTACTTCTGGGGATTGAACCCAGAACCTTCTGTGTGTGAAGCATGACATGATGACTACTACATTAATTGCATCATTCATGTCATTCTCTCAAATATGTTGGTGTTTTGGTCACATCAGTCACAGTGGATGTACAGAGACTGATGTAAGGAAAATGTCTGTCTTATGGACAGAGTTAACATGGGACTTGTCCTTCAAATGTACTGATGTCCGCACAGTTGTTTGTTTGTTTGTTTGTAGCCTTTATTTAACCAGGTGAAGCCCCTTGAGATCAAAAGATCTCTTTTTCAAGGGTGACCTGCAGGACATTAGTTACACATGTAACATAAAAACAACAGAACAACAATAAGGATGACATGCAACATAATGTACAGGGTACAGTTTACAAACTCTATTTACAGAGACAGGTACCATGAGTATCAAACAGCATGTCACCCAGCTGAGTTTTAAAATGATGCAGGGGAACCAAAGTGCTCAGTTTTAAACATGTTTGCAGACAGTTCCAATTTAGTGGAGCTGCACAACTAAAAGCTTTCTTCCCTAAGACAGTCCTTGCACTTGGCACATTTAATAAAACAACATCATGAGATCTCAGGCAATAAGTACTTTCAATTCGTCGAGAGATCAGAGAGCAGATATAAGAAGGTAGTTTACCCAACATGGCTTTGTAAATGAACGTGTACCAATGACTGAGCCTCCGTACAGTTAGTGAAGGCAGACCTGCCTTGGCATACAGGGTACAGTGATGAGTAAGTGCTTTACAGTTAGTAACAAATCTCAGGGCACTGTGATAGGCGGCATCTAACTTTTCCAGGCAATGGGCAGGTGCATTCATATAGATCAGATCACTATAGTCCAGCACAGGTAAAAAGGTCAGAGCCTTTTCCTGGCTTCAAAAGAGAAACAGGACTTGTTCCTGAAAAAGAAACCTAGCCTAACCCTCAGCTTTTTAAGCAGGTTATTGACATGAAGTTTAAAAGTAAGACAATCATCAAGCCAGATACCTAGGTATTTGTAACAGGTAACCACTTTGAGTACTTGTCCTTGCATAGTAACAATATCCAAAACAGGCTCTGGTGTCTTTTTAGCTTTTGAAAAGAGCATTACCTTGGTTTTCTCAACATTTAAAAGAAGCTTTAGTTCAGAGAGCTGAGTCTGAATAATGTTAAAAACAGCCTGTAATGTAACACCAGCCTCCTGAATGGAGGGACCTGCACAGTACATCACGGTATCATCCGCATAAAAATGTAAAGTAGCTTCATCCACATTTTCACCTAAACTGTTGATATATATAGAGAATAAAAGTGGACCTAAAACAGAACCTTGAGGAACACCATTAGCAATGTTTAACCACTCAGAAGACAGCCCATCAAAGTGAACACATTGGGACCTTTCAGAGAGGTAGTTCACAAACCAACCCACTGCATGGCTGGATATGCCGATACTGAGTAGCCTCTGCTTTAAGATGCGATGATCAACGGTGTCAAATGCTTTGGAAAGGTCAATAAACAGAGCTGCACAACTCTGCTTATTATCCAAAATACTAGTAATGTCATTTACCACTTTCATTGTCGCAGTTCTACAAAAAGATAACAGAGTATTTCCAGACTCTGGAGGAAAGTAAGAGGAGTTGTCAGGGGACTCTACCCGTATTATGATGCACTATTTTTGGATACTTTTTTCACTTTCATGCATCTTTCCATGGATGACTTATTGTATTTATTTTAACTTTTTGGTCAATTTCACCCAGTTTTGGCTCCCGCCTTGCCTGGAGGATAGGACCGAGAGATGACAGGGATCTCTGCCCGCCTAACGAGTGCCTAAATGGGACACCTTTCGCACGATGATGCAAATGGAAAACACAATGTTTTGAAAATAAACTGGAGAGATTTGACACGGGGTCTTTCTAGTTCGCTGAGTGCAACTTTCTTGAGTCTTTTCACGTTTCCTTCTTTGGCGCCCCCGGTTCTATACATTCTACTGGTGACACTTCCTGGTACCGAAATGCTCATGCATACAAATAGGATGGCGATTGGTTGTCCTATCTGTAAGAGTTCCTGAGCAAGCACCTGCAGAGGAACCATAGTGTGCGTAATTTAGTTGAAAGAAAAATTCTGCTGTTGTTGGCGAAAGGACGGACAAACATTAGGCTCCATCCCTGCACCATTGCAGGATGCGAGTACATCGGGACAAGGCTGGACCGCCACTTGGACAGAGACCATGTTGAGCTGTCCCGGGAGGAAATATATGTGGTTGTAAATAAACTAAAAATGACAGTGGCAACGAAGGAGCTTCATGAACTCAGATTGACAAACCCCACAGTAGCAATGATTACCTCTTGGGATGTGGACACTGTGGGTGATGAGGTCTTGTCACAACCTCCACCCTTGTCCCCAGTGATTGAATGTGACAACCCGGACTGTAAGGAATAGAGGATGGAGGCAAACACAATGAGGGCTCAGAGGGACAGATATGCTGCTGAGGTGAAATCCCTGCACTGCAAGCTGCAGCAGAGGATAAAACATAAGCGACATAGGAGGAACCAGAGGGCCGAGGACATGCTTGGGTTCGATGAAGAGGATGGGGAGGAACAAGAGCGGGTGTTTCTAAGGAAACGACCCCGAACAGAGTCAACCCCAAAGAGGCTGTCCAAGTCCAAAGGTCCCTCCTGCAGCAAGTCCCCCATTCCCTCCTGCAGCAAGTCCCCCATTGCCTCTCACACATCTGTATCCAGCTCCTCAGAACCTGCATCCATAGATACCGAGGCCTCGTCATCCTCCCCTCCCATACATTCCCCTGGTTCAGAGGCAGGGGCCGTGGGAATATAATGCGAGACATAACATTCCCACGCATCATGGAGGAATATCTGCAAGGCTACCGGGACCATTATGAGGGCATCGACCCAACAGTGAGGCTCCAAGAAAACGCAGTCTCCAAAATAAGCAGAGTGAAATCGTTCCTAAGCTTCATGGTACACGGTTTCAATCGCCTGTCTGACTGGCTCTTTCTGAGGGATCTGAAGAGGATACGTGGGTGAGTAACATCAAAAACTGTCCATGATGTTAGCATCATTGTGTGTGTTCTCCACATTGACGCAATACGATGTACTGATGCGTTTTCCTTTGCCAACAGCTGGTCCCGGAGCCTGATAAAGTCAAGCCTACAGGTCACGACCTCTGACTTCTATATCAAAAATATATCACACTTTCTCAAGTACATAGCAGACACACCATGCAAGGGGAGCAGGCTCAACCAAAACGACATAATTTTAATCAAACGGGAAGTTGTTGCCATCCTGAAGTCCCTTAGGAAGAAGGTGCTTATCCACCAGATGCAGGTGAAGCGGGACAAGATGGAAGGTCTGCCGAGCCATAAAGACATCATGGCATGTTTGACTGCGGCCAAAACTCGCATCCCTCAGCTCCTGGACGTGATGGTCAGCAATCTGACTACCGCAACCCGGATATTGCTCTATGGGTACATGACCCTCCATTGGAGCTGCATTTATGGGCCACCGTCCGGGGGTCTACTCCAACATAACCAACGCCGAGGTCCGAAAGGCGGAGACAAGTGGCACTGCCTTTGGCCAACTCATCCACGTGAGTGCTATTAAAAAATGTGTTTATTCTGGCAGTGATAAAAATGTTGTGCATGATTGATACTTGTTTTGACGCTCTCTACCTCTGTCATAACAGGTAAGCAACCACAAGACGGCCAACGCGTTCGGGGAAGCGCATCTGTACCTCACCATAGAAGAATTTGGATGAATGAAGAGGTGGCTGGAAATCAAGGGGACGCTGACCTGCACCCAGAACCGCTACTTCCTATACACAGCGGGGAAGAACGCGTCGAGGAACCTTGCCTCCGCCCTGAGGTTGGCATGGGCTGATGTTGGACTAAAAGGTCCAATTAACTTCACCGACCTCCGCACAGTCCACGCAGA